GCATAGCCCGCCTGAGAGTCTGCATAGCCCGCCTGAGAGTCTGCATAGCCCGCCTGAGAGTCTGCATAGCCCGCCTGAGAGTCTGCATAGCCCGCCTGAGAGTCCCCATAGCCCGCCTGAGAGTCTGCATAGCCCCCCTGAGAGTCTGCATAGCCCACCTGAGAGTCTGCATAGCCCACCTGAGAGCCGCACAGCCCACCTGAGAGTGCACACAGCCAACCTGAGAGTGCACACAGCCCACCTGAGAGTCTGCACAGGCCACCTGAGAGCCGTATAGCCCAACTGAGAGCCGCATAGCCCACCTGAGAGCCGCATAGCCCACCTGAGAACCTGGAGACATCGGGTGCAACCCCAGAACAACACAGAGTATGTAGCCACATATTATGTTGTATTGCTGTATAATGTATTTCTGGGTTCCTTTGTTTGAATCCCAACCAGGACACCACCTGCATGGAGTTTGCATGTTCTCCCCGTGCTCATGCGGTTTCCTCCCACACTCCAAAGACACGCTGGCCGGATAATTGACTCTTGCCTAAATTATCCGTAATGTGTGTTTATGTACGTGAGATGGGTCATTAGATTGTAAACTCCTCGGGGGAGGGGACTGATGTGAATGTACAGTGTGTAAGGAGCCGTACGAATGTCTGTAATCACTACATGTGAAACATACGACAGACCGCAGTATTTATATCCAACACACGGCGGGGATCTGACTATAAATACACAGACAGGAAGTGATGTAAGCTACTGAAAGGAAGTGATGTAATAGACAGGAAGTGATGTAGCAGTATAAATAGGAAGTTGCGGTAAGAGGTTAGGTGGAGGAAGTAGAGAGGAGACATTGCTGGAATGGGCAGCAGAGGAGGTAATAAGATATTATGTTATATTTACACCCGATAACCCCTCCCCTCCGGCATGTCCGTCCTCCATAGTCACTGTGATGTCTCTTATGGTTTATAGATGTAGAATATTGTACCGTGTCAGCCATCGAATAGTGCCGAAAGTCGGAATTTGTGATTCCAGGAACAGACAAAGGAGAGGTGAGCGGTGCCGGGAATTCTGGGACATGATCCAGGAACAGACAAGGGGCGTGTCTGGGTGGTGACGGGAGAGGTGGGCGGTGCCGGGGATTCTGGGACATGATCCAGGAACAGACAAGGGGTGTGTCTGGGTGGTGACGGGAGAGGTGAGCGGTGCCGGGAATTCTGGGACATGGTCCAGGAACAGACAAGGGGTGTGTCTGGGTGGTGACTGTATCATTGTGTGTGTCAGGTTCCTATAAGGTGTCAGGATGTCTCTGTCTATCTCTCCATGGAGGAGTGGGAGTATCTAGAAGGACACCGGGATCTCTACAAGGACGTGGTGATGGAGAATGCCCCGCCCCTCACATCACCGGGTAAGAGGAGAGAGCAGTACGGAGGCTCCGCCTACATCCCCCATCATCTGATACACACATAGAAACAATGTATTCAGTCAGTGTGTGTGTTTCCTACAGATGGATCCAGTAAGAGGAACCCACCAGAGAGATGTCCCCGCCCCCTGTATTCCCGGGACCCCACCCAGGAACATCTCACCATCCCCCACCATGATCAGGTAGATGGGGCTGAGGGTCCAGTAGTCACTCTAGACGTTGAGATTATATTCTTCTGTATGTTTGAGGTGATCAGTGCCCACAATTGAAAGATATTGTCTGTAATTGTGTTGGTTTAGCATGAAAAACGAAGGGATATGAAAGTTGAGCTGAAAGAGGAAGAAGAGACGTCTGTGATGAAGCAGACTATGGAGAAGGTCGGGATGATAGTTACAACTAAACCAGAGGAACCTTCTCGAGATATAAACACAAGTGAGTAATAAACATTCAGAAACTGTTCATGTATTTGGGTTGGATACGAAGGTCCATCTCCATTCCTCAATATAACGTCATGTGACCAACAAATGAGGAGATACTGTACACCATATGAAGGTCCATCTCCATTCCTCAATATAACGTCATGTGACCAACAAATGAGGAGGAGATACTGGACACCATATGAGAGGTCCATCTCCCTTCCCTCCATAGCGGTCATGAATGAACAGTACAATGGTCTCCGGGGGGGTCAGAGGTGTTTTGGGGGTTTTGTCTCCTTTATCTGGTTGGTTTTCATATTTTGGGGTTACAATTGGACCCAATTCCATGCCAGAGCTCTGTGATGACTTCTAGACCAACATACATGACTCTGATTACTGACGTGTGTAATCATTTCTCTCCAGCAGATGGATGTGATGTCAGGAATACCTCGGAGAGACATCTTATATTATTTGCTGGTTGTAAGTCAGAAGATAATGTCATCACACAGGATTCTCCAGGAGTGAATCCAAACACACAGAATATACATCACAGAGCTCACTGCTCGGAGACATCAATGGATCCCTCTGATCAGGGTGAATCTTCTGATCATTCACATACTATGACTGGAAATATCCATCTAAGATCTCACACTGCAAGAGATCCATCTAATCCCAAGGAGTCTTCCTCACCCCATGAAGGAGATCACAGAGGTGAGGATCCATTCTCATGTTTGGGGTGCGGGAAATCCTTCAAGAACAGAAATGATCTTCGTGTCCATCTCCGATCTCATACCAGTGTAATATTGAAATGTTCAGAATGCGGGAAATCCTTTAACAAGGAAAGTGATTTTCGTAAACACCAGAAAACCCACTCAAGAATTTATCAGTTTTCATGCTCAGAGTGCGGAAAATGTTTTCATAAAGAGAGCAGATTTCTTACACACCAGAAAACTCATACAGGAAATCATAGTTTTTCATGTCAAACACGTGAGCGTCCTTATTCATGTACAGAGTGCGGGAAATCTTTTACTGGGAAAGCAGTCCTTGTTAGACACCAGAGAATTCACACGGGTGATGGTCTTTTTCCTTGTTCAGAGTGCGGGAAACGTTTTTCAATGAAAGGAAATCTTCTTCAACATCAGAGTACTCACCGCACTTATCACTGTTCAGAGTGTGGGAAAAGTTTTGCACCGTACTCCAGACTTATTCTACACCAGAGAATTCACACTGGGGAGCGTCCTTTTACTTGTTCAGAGTGCGGGAAAACTTTTACTTCTAAATCTAGTCATACGATTCACCAGAAAATTCACACGGGTGAGCGACCTTATTCATGTTCAGAGTGCGGGAAATCTTTCACTTGGAAAGGACAGCTTGTTAAACACCAGAGAATTCACACGGGTGAGCGTCCTTATTCATGTTCAGAGTGCGAGAAATCATTCACTTGGAAAGGAGACCTTGTTATACACCAGAGAATTCACACGGGTGAGCGTCCTTATTCATGTTCAGAGTGCGGGAAATCATTCACTTGGAAAGGACAGCTTGTTATACACCAGAAAATTCACACGGGTGAGCGTCCTTATTCATGTTCATAGTGTGGGAAATCTTTCGCTTGTAGAAGTAACTTTGTTGTACACCAGAAAATTCATACTGATAAGCGTCCTTTCTCATGTTAAGAGTGTGGGAAATGTTTAATTCAGAAAGGAAACCTTGTTAGTTATACACCAGAGACCCAACACTGGTAAACCACCTTTTTCATACTCTGAGTGCGGGAAAGGTTGTATAGATAAAAGAAGTCTTATTAGACATCAGAGAGACGTTCCTGCTCATTCTTTCGTATGATGGATTTTATCAGGTGGAACTGTTCCGTCCATAGAACAACTGGAGGATAAAGTCATTTATAAAGGGGGCTTCATCCCGGGATAAGTGATATTTCATGTATAGGTGAAGTCTGATGGGTCAAGTCTTCTCTTGGCGTCGTCTGTGTCTTGGAGACTCCGATGGTGGGAAATTTCCTAATCCTTATCAGTTAGGGGGAAGTCTTTATAAAGGGTCACACCACCAGAAAAGTGTTGTACGTGTTTTATTGAACTCGCCCCGATGTGTGTTCCGGAGACTTTTCACCATTGCAATGTAAGACTCCTGAAGAGACCGGACCTGATAAGAGCTTCATATCCTTTCCTCGCACATTCATTCCCGGTGATAGGATTCTCCAGAAGTGAGACATACAATCTGCGCTGTCAGAGGCTGGTCTGGGCTGATCGCTCAGATCCGGGCTCTACTCTCTCTACTACTTTGCGGCATCAATTCTCATTTTTCTTTTAACAATTCTTTTATTTTTCCATAATTATAAATATTAAACTGCAGGGAGGAAAGCTGGAAGTGGGCGGAGTCACCTGTATCTGAAGTGCTATATGAAGAAAACGTAACTTGCGTTTAATCAATAAAATGTTTGTATACAAGGTGCGGGAAAAGTGAGATTTGTTTTTTCAGTCACAATGACGGTGGTCCATGTAGAGCAGGGGGTGGCCAAACTGCGGCCCTCCAGCTGTGGGTGGAACGACGAATCCCATGAGGCTTTGCAAGATTCTCAGAGCCACAGACATGACTCCCGGAGAGAGATGCATCATGGGATTTGTAGTTTCACCCACAGCCGGAGGGCTGGAGTTTGGCCATCCCTGATGTAAAGGATTGCAGAACACAGAAGACTGTGCAGGGGTGTGGGAATTGTTTCAAAAACTACTTGTCGAAGGGCCGAATCTAGGGTTGTCACCCGTCCGGGAATGACCCGGACAGTCCGGGTTTGGAATCCTGTGCCCGGGTGCAAGCCTTTCCCCCACCCGGGCACAGGATTTTCAAGCCGCAGACTTGCTCACCTGACAGCTAGCGGTGGCGGGCGGTGATCTGTGAGCAGCGGTGGGCAATAAGGTGTCGGCGGCGGGCGATGACGTGTCGGTGGCG